CATAAACAAATATATATGCAACGCATGAGTACACACGAGTTATTTTCCAAGCGTAGCTTAGATGTGGCACAAGGCCGAAAGTATGGGGCATCTAGTGAGGATCGAACTCACTTTTCAGTTGTAACTGATCTAGCGAGACAAGTTTGATAACCATTACACTATATATATATATATATATATATATATATATATATATATATATATTTTCCTGTAACTCTTATGGACTGTCTCCTTGTTTAAGCTGGTGAATGCTGCCATCATTCTTAACTTCAGTCCATATTTGTTGGTCTCTCGCTCAACTGCGCCCCGCACGTAATGATGAAGAGGTTGCTGTCGAAGGAGTTAGGTAGCAAAAATTGTCTGACAGCCATGACTGGTTTCTCCTTGTGTGGCATGACGCAGTCCTGTTGCCAGACATGGGACTTTCCAGCAGCCACCCTCTTGACCTTGGGTAGCACTACCTCTTCAAGGCACTTGACGTAAGCCTCAGTGTTGAGTCTGAGGACCTCACCAACAAATTCGGGAGTTCTTATCAAAACAATCAGTGAATTTTCTAACACTTTTCGAATCTTCTGTATTGTCCTCAGATTTGACAGCCAAACACTCTGAAATGTTCGCATTGGAGATTGACACGAATGTCAAACGGTACAGCATGCCGTTTCCAAAATTCTGGCGGAGTGAATTGCGTTATGATGTTCTTTGTCTCAGACAGTTCCCAACTGACCGTACTATCCTGGGCAGTCGAAAAAAAAAAAAGAACGCACATACACGAAATTAAAAAATATAAAATGGCGGCAATTTACCCATCGCACCCTATATATATATATATATATATATATATATAATGTGTGTGAGAGAGAAAGAAAATAAGTTTAGAAACGCACCTAATGTTTTTATATATTCATATGTAATATTTATAATAATTGTTGACGGATATTAAAATCGTTTTACTTACATGTGGGTTTTCAGAAAAAATCGTTTTACTTTTAAAGGGACTATTTATATATTCTGGTCATTGGTGCATTATGGGTAGCAAGGTCAGGTATCCGTAATATACCCCTGACCTGCATATATACAGAATATCTTACATATTTATAAATCTCTCATTCGTCCTTGTGTTGAATATTGCTGCCACAAAATCCAAAAAATCGGCAATGTTATCGGTCCTGATCTGGCATCTCTGCTTCAGTCACTTTCTCCACTGCCATAATGTAGCTTCCCTTTGCCTTTTCTATAAATACTTTCATGGTTTTATGACTTTAAGCGCAATATTAGATTGGAGGAAAAGTCTCATTAATTTCCAGTGGAAACGGTTAAGATTTAACCGTAAGTTCTATGCTAACTGTTTCTTTTCTTGTATTTCTCGTAGAACTCTCTTCTAGCTTCTTGTTTCCCCAGTCAACTTTGATCTTCAAAAATTTAAATGCAATGTCAACCATTATCTTTTGTCTTAAGTGTTATTCTTTTGTTCTCTTTCCTTAATAGCTTTTCTCATTTTCCCACATTCAGCAACCTCTCGCGTCCTCGGGAACTTATTACCTTGCTTGGGGTGGAGTGATTTAAAAGAAAAAAAAAAGTCGAAAAATTGCCTGAAGATTGCATTCAAGCATGCATAAAAATAGGTAAAAAAGATGTGAACATCACCGAAGATATGCAAACAGGGATATATATTATCGTTTTCTCTTGTGCACACCTTCACACGGACATATCTTTGCTATATACAAGGTGCGATAGGTAAATTGTTGCCATTTTATATTAATTTCGCGTATGTGCGTTTTTTTGTTGTCGGCTGCACAGGATAGTAGTCAGTTGGGCACCGTCTGTGAGAGAGCACCATGATGCAATTCTGCCAGAAATTTGGAAATGTCATGCTGTACTGTTTGGGATTCGCACTGGAAGCTCCATTATGAACATTTCAGTGTTTGGCTGTCAATCTGAAGATGCAGAGGATTCAAAAAGAGTTAGATGAGTCTAATGGTGATTATGATTGTACAGCAGCTCCGAAAATCATATTTAAACGTGATCATATTTAAACGGAACGCTGATCTTATATAAAAATTTCAGTTATCTGTTTGGATTAGTTGTGCTCTTATGTCCATCGTCTTTTTCATGTTGAGTTTTATATGTTCTAATGTTAATTATGTTTTATGAATATGTCCTGATGATGGTCTAAAATAGACCGAAACGTCCGAGGTTGACTTTATATTAACATTAATACAGCATAATTGCATATTAAGATTTTTGTTTGTTTGTTTGTTTTTTTTTTCCCTGTATATTTTTCTTCATACTGTCGGATCTATATCCATATATTTGCTTATATATATATATATATATATATATATATATATATATATATGGTTAGCGGCTCGGATTAAGGAATCGAAGAGCCGAGTTCGAATTCCAGTCGAATCCATTACATTCACTTACGTGCTTGGGAAAGAGATGAATTCTCTTTTCACCTCGGTTATGGGTAAATAGCCTTGCATGCCAACTGGTCTAGGAGAAGGACAACTCTAATTTCAAAACCTGTGTAGGGTCGTTTGGGACACGTAGCGCACCAGGTCTCTAATCGGCCATTCAAAAAGTGTGGTTGGTTCTGCACAAAACATTCACCACTATAATCAAATCCTATGTGCTGGTTTTCTGGCTGTCGGTTCCCAGGAACTGAGTGGCCTGACCCTCAAACGTCATAAAAAAAATCCCTGATCAACGACAGGAGTCATATATATATATATATATATATATATATATATATATATATATATATATATATATATATATATATACACACACACACTTTGACGTGCTCTCTCACACTCAGTAATAATAGTCGAATCATTTTGTGTATTTAAAAACAAGCTTTGAAATAAAACTTTTTCATATACCCTAATAAACGAGTAGAATAAAACAGTTACCCGCGTACTAACATAAAACTCTTGTTAAACTCCATATACACCCATGACACATTAAAAAGGCTACTTTCGTTAAAATCTACTTTGAAAATCTAATCTGTATGTTCGACATTGAATATTGTTGATAATGCTTAAACTAACATAATCATAGTTAAATGCTTTCATATTAGGCAGTAACTCGAGTACTTGTATTTGACCTTCGAACGAAGTGTACAAGATCTTTAGTACATTAAACAAAATAAGTAAAAAAAACAAAAAAAAGTTAATAGTAATATGAGTAGTATCGTTAGGGTTGGACAATGTAGTCAATTTATAGCTACTTGCCTTAAGTGACGTTAAACAATCTTAGAAGTCCTGATTCCTAGATTATTCATTCAAAGCGTTTCCCTTTTGACTGGTTATTTGTCGATAAGTAATTTCTTTTTTTTCTTTTTTTTTTTTTTAAATAGTCAATTCAAGAAAGGTTTCAATCGATTTTATGTCTGAACAACTTTTGCATTTTTTTTTTTTTTTTTTTTTTTCGTCTTTTTGTTTAATTTTAACTGAACTATTTCAGCTCTTGTCTCAAAAACAGCAGAAAAAGGTAGTCCTGTATATATTAACAGGAGAAGCCCATTTGTTGCCACTAGGAACACGTGCGAATCCCTTTCGTAACGCGTGAAGGTTACTTCTCAACACCCAGGATGTGTTGATATCTCTAACCTGATATGCGCTGCCTCTTTCAAATTTCTGTTCCCTTTTAATTATGTAAGACTTCTCATTACGTATATGATCTGTCACACAAGATTCTTGTACCTTCTCTCTATGGCCTATTAGAAAAAGCCTGTTGCGCCCTTTTCTCTTTTTCACGGGTTTATTTGGCGTTTTATTTCTTTATTAGCCGCTAATAAAGAACGAATGAAAAATAACAGGTCTTCGACAGCAGCAGCAACTGTAACAAAAATCTTCGGTTTGTGTAATGAAGCATAGCGAGCAGCAGTGGCACTCATCAGCAGACAGATGAGGTTTAAGGCTCAAAGTTCTCCACGCATTTGTCCCACGAGACAAATAACTTAGTGGATTTAAACGTTAGTGACACAGTAATTCTTTGTACTTGGATTCTATTCGAACAATCACTGAGCCGTACTAAATGAACTATGGCGAGATATAGACATGGGCAGTGGAATGAGAAAAATGTACCCCCCCCCGTAGATTATTATCGGGATCGACCTACACATGAAGGCCGAAAGGTTGTAATAGTAATAACAAAGATGCAGACAATAGTCTGCATGTAAACAACTCGTCAGAGAAACAGAAGAAAGCAGCGTGTAGCCTACATACCGAACTAGTGTAAAAAGATGACAGAACAGGAGTTGTGAGGAGTAGAGAAAAGGCAAATATTACTAAGCTAGAAAGGATAGGGAGTTGTGGTGAACCATGATCGACCACGTCCTGTAGAGAAATGACACCTAAATCTACGTCCAGTCTAGCGTCCACTGCCAGCTTTCATCTAGAAATTCTTTCCCTTCATCCTCAGAAACAGCCAATGTGGTGTAATCATTAAAAATTCTGGTTGGATGAAAAAATAGGTGATCCGGGTTAGAAAAAAAATCTGGTTGGATGAAGAAATAGGTGATCCGGGTTCGAATTCCAGCCGTTCTTTATATCCACGTAGGTGCAAATACCATTGCCATATCTGGGCTGGAGCTGTAAAGTCCTCATTTTGTAGTCGTGATACTTAAAACTTTTACGCAGCTTTGTGGGTGATGAATTATTTTTCCACTCCGCGACCCCTTTTCCCACAGGCCAAACGTCGCTAGCCTTTCGCAACTCTGTTGCTATTTTCATGACAAATGTCAAGAGTTGCTTGAACAGAACCATCTATACTATGCCCACGAGGTCGAATCCTCCTCTTTCGCTTCATATTCAGTTGGCAAGAAGTTTCACGCAGACAGCTACTTCCCTACCACCAAAACTGTTACTTTGTGGGATAGACTTCCTAGATCTCTCATTCAGTAACTATCTATTTTGAGGGATTCTCGAGCCTTGTATTGGTTGAACGACAGTATATAAAAATATCAACTATAATAGGAATTTTAAATATCCCAGACTTTGTAAATTCTCTCTCTCTCTCTCGTTTCTTTCTCTCTCTCTCTCTCGTTTCTTTCTCTCTCTCTCTCTCGTTTCTTTCTCTCTCTCTCTCTCGTTTCTTTCTCTCTCTCTCTCTCGTTTCTTTCTCTCTCTCTCTCTCTTTCTTTCTTTCTCTCTCTCTTTTCTTTTTTCTCTTTCTCTCTTCTTTCTTTCTCTCTCTCTCTCTTTCTCTCTCTCTTTTCTTTCTTTCTCTCTCATTTCTTTCTCTCTCTTCTTTCTTTTTTCTTTCTCTCTCTCTCTTTTCTTTCTCTTTTCTTTCTTTCTTTTCTTTTTCTTCTCTCTTTCTTTCTTTCTCTCTTTCTTTTCTTTTTCTTTCTTTCTTTCTCTTTCTTTCTTTCTCTCTCTTTCTTTTCTTTCTCTTTTCTTTCTTTCTCTTTTCTTTTCTTCTTTCTCTTTCTTTCTTCTCTTTTTTTCTTCCTCTCTTTCTTTTCTTCTTTCTTTCTTTTTTTCTTTCTTTTCTTTCTTTTCTTTTCTTTTTTTTTCTTTTCTTTTCTTTTTTTCTTTCTCTTTTTTCTTTCTTTTTCTTTTTTCTTTTCTTTCTTCTTTCTTTTCTTTCTCTTTTTCTTCCTCTTTCTTTTCTTCCTTTTTTTCTTTTTTTTTTTTTCTTCCTCTTTTTTTCTTCTTTCTTTTTTCTTTTCTTTTTTCTTCCTTTCTTTCTTTTCTTTCTTTCTTCTTTTTTTCTTCTCTCTTTTTTTTCTTTTTTTTATTCTCTTTTCTTTTCTTTCTCTCTTTCTCTTTCTTTTCTTCACTCTCTTTCTTTTCTTCACTCTCTTTCTTTTCTTCACTCTCTTTCTTTTCTTCACTCTCTTTCTTTTCTTCACTCTCTTTCTTTTCTTCACTCTCTTTCTTTTCTTCACTCTCTTTCTTTTCTTCACTCTCTTTCTTTTCTTCCTCTCTTTCTTTCTTTCTTCTTTCTTTTTTCACTTTTTTCTTCACTCTCTTTCTTTTCTTTTTCTTTCTTTCTTTTTCTTTTTCTTCTCTCTTTCTTTTCTTCACTCTCTTTCTTTTCTTCACTCTCTTTCTTTTCTTCACTCTCTTTCTTTTCTTCACTCTCTGACACTTTTTACACGTTTCATTCTTCTTTCATTTGTATTCTTTGTCCTTTTCTCGGTATGTTCACACAAATATCTGTGTATTTGTGGTTTTCGGTCAACGACCCATGGGTAGCTTAAAGGAGGGTGAGAAAGTCAAGCCTGAGAGACGATTATTTGAGACGAACAATCAACAAGTGAAGAAAGCACATTGGAATCTTTTTAATTGAAAAATAAATAAAATCGTCCATTGCAAGAATGCAAAGTTACTTTGACAAAGAGTCACTGCCTAAATTGAACATTACAGACCACAGATGTTTAGGAACGTATACATACAATGACTGCCTATATCCGGGTACATAACTTGAATGTATGCAAACGCCTATATTCATAATATATACTAGCAAAGGTGCATGACGTTGCTCGTGGTCTTAATCATAGCGCCACTTGTTAGAAGTGGCAGTTTAAAGATAAACCCTAAAAAAAAAAATTGAATAGTAGTAGCCCTAAAAAGAGTATGACAGCGTTCTTTGAGAGTTTAACAATCAAATTATGGTAGCCTTAAACAAAAGGCTGGAATACGTTCCTTGAGAGTGTTACAGTTTAGAAGTGATAGTATACCGGAGTCATGGTAACGACTTCTCGTGAAATGGACGCGGAATCTAATGCCGACAAAAGAGAAAGAGAAACAGTCAGTAAGAGTTAAACAAAAGGAAAAATATATAAAGTGCATCACTCACCTAAATTATGCGTGGAAACAAGCAAACCGGATGGACTGAAGTGTTACAGAATTTTATGACTACAAATGGACAAGTAAATAGCCTACAACACCTATCTGTAGACAACATTTTTTAGTTTTTCCATTTGCTTCCCACCTTAGAAGAACCAACATATATCTGTCCATGGGAGAATCATGGCTCGCGCTCTGGAGAGCGTTTGTCCTTGAGATTTGTTGATTGATATCGCGATATCTTAGTGAAAATTGAAGTCTGTGCAGAACAGTGGCCTAAATAACATGTGGCAGCAGTTTCTTAAGCACAATGCGGGTTCCGTTGCAGAACCTTGGCGGTTCCAGGTTCCTCAGCAACATTACGGTTCCGATTTTGAGGCGCAAAGCATGGGGGAGGTAGTCCGGAGGAGTTCAGAGTTTAGAAACTCTACTGGTTCGTGAATCATCTCTTGTGTATCACCAATGGTGTCAATTGACTTGTAAGTCTGAAAGCTTCTTGGTAGGCATTTCAGGAGTTCTTCATTGATTTTAGCAACACTAGTGTTTTTTAGGAGACAATATTGCTCTTTTGCACAACCAACTGAGGTTTCCAAAATTGTTAGCCTGATCTGTAAAGACAGCAGCTTTGAGATCGTGAACATTATTTAGAACGGAGCATATTTGTGAAACAGATCTCTCCAGCTTCATCCGATGGCACGTTGCCGTCACCGATTTCTAGAAGGTCTTTTGAAAATTGCGTTGATATTTGGTCCTCGAACAGTTCATCTCTCAAGTCAAAATTTTAACCTGTTGCCACAGAGACGATGACTTAATGCATGCTTTCACAGTATCCGCCCTTGTGCTTTGCGAAACAACGGGGAGAGTTTACCTGAAAACACCTGATAGGACAGGTACTCCCCCCCACCCCGCTTGGATGTTGACAATCCCTTATGACTCGCAAAGTCCTATCAAGGGCTTCGAGAGCTCCTTTGTGGGCCATCGTGCACTCATCCCACACAATGAGCTCACACCTTTTCAGGACGTCAGCTTTATCAGAACCCTCGTTGATGTTGCAAGTCGCTGAATCAAACGATGCCAAATTAATTGGCATCTTGAAGGTGGAGTGCGCTGTTCTACCACCGGGCAGAAAGGTTGCAGCAATTCTGGAGGATGCCACAGCCAAGGCGATCCCCGTTCTTTTGCCGTACTTTTGCGAGGAGTGGTTGTCCCTCCAGGTGCATCCAAGAAGAACAAACCACCTTTCCGAAGGCGAACAGTCGAAAATGATATTGTAAGACAACAACTGGTCCTTAAACAACTTTGGCTCGTTTTCGCTGACATACCGTTCAAGAGCTTCGACATCGTAGGAAGTTTCCTGAATTATGCCTGCCGAAAGAGTATTTGAACTCATTCGGCGAAACTGGGGTAGGCCGCAATGAATTTCCGCCCATAGAAACAATCCTATCTTCGATGTCAATAAGCGCCCTGTTTATAAATTCGTCACTGAATCCTGCGTTAAAGCTACAAAGCATTAATTGTCAATGATCTTTGAAGTCTTCAAAAAGGTCCTCTTTGTATTTCTCCCATAAAGATACAGGATCGCTGAGCTCACATGTGTGCAATAACAAGCGCTATCGGAAACTTTTGTTGTTCGCATTGCAGCAGCTTCCAAGAGAGTTTCCTCCCACTAAGCACCATCTTCCAGTACACCGTGTTTAAAGCGGGTCTCATGATATATTCTGAAAACGTATCCATTAAGCCTTTTTTAAGTCGTCAAAACACATTGGACCTCTTAACTCATGTAATAGAAACTGAAGGTAAAACCACTCCTTTTGGCTGGGGTGGATTTTATATACTCTGCCGAGGCAATGGTCAAACTTGATGCCATCAACAGTTTCTCTTACCTTTCTTCATGTCCATCTGTTGTCTTTCCAAGTGTAGTATGATTGTACTTAAGGGTATTGAGGGATTTGAACCAATGAAATTTTGTCAAAGAATTGACTGGATAATTAGTAGTGTTCATGCGAACAGATCAAAGGTCATGTTCGCAGTTCACCCCCTTATTGTCAGGTTATGTGCATAGAGAGGGTAAATGAGTAAACACTAAGGACCTGGTATAGGCAGACCTTCACACGAATTAAGGGGGTGAAAGGCTGCATTATTAATGTTTACGCGCACAGGTCAAAGCTTGTGCTTGCAGTCATCCCCCTGTCAGACAATGCGCAAAAGGTTTTAAGGAATATGGTAGTGAAAAGCGGGGCATTATGATCGTAGGCGTAAACAATAAGGGCGCGGTTAAAGTAGTTTACTCCAAATAAGACGCTGAAAGGGGGTGGGGGCGCATTAATAGCGTTCACGACCATGTGTCAAAGATCATGCTTGCAGTTCACCGTATGTTATCACACCATGAAAGGAGTAAAATTTAATCAATTTAATTAAATATCAGTTTACTCCATTTAAGCGAGTTAACTTGATACAAAATTAGTTCGAAACATTCGTTGAAGCATAAGTAATGTTTGTGCAAAATTTTGAACGAATCTGCTGGAAACTGCTGAAGTTAATAGCAAAAAAAGAATTTCACAGTTATTAGCAGATTTTTCGCGATTAACGCAAATAACCTTAAATTCAATCAAAACAATTGTCATAAGTAATAATAGTGTCAAATTTTGAGAAGATTGTTTGAAATGTCAAGAAGTTATGGGCAAAAAACTGGTTTTCTAAACAGTTTTTCGTTATACGCGGGGATCCGGAAAAAAAAAACGTTGGTCTTTACCACCATTGGAGCATAAGCTGTAAGTGTGTCAAGTTTGAACGAAATAGGTTAAAAAGTGTGGAAATGGATAACGAACAAGCATACATAGGCATCTTCTGTTATATATATATATATATATCTTAATACTTTGCTTAGCTTTTGGAACGCATTTTTGGCTATCCCAATGCGCCTTCGTGTTTCAATATCAATTTCTGTCCTCTGTTAAAACACTTTCCAGATATTTACATTTTTGTACTTGTTTGATATTGGTATCTCCGATTTGTAATTAGCATTTTGGGGTCCTTCTTATTGCAGGTATTTTTACCTCCCTTAAGATTCTCATATGACATATGGGAAGTATTTTTTTCTTTATAAAAATTTTGAAAAATGGATCTATTTGAGTCTTCCGTTATCTCGTCACTGTCGTGTATCACATTTATTTAGTAATCTTGTCTTTCGAAATCTTGATAGAATAGCATGACTACAGCCAGAGCGGTGATGATACGGCATCACTGGACAAAAGGGCTTCTTAGAACTGATGTCAACGCCCACAAGCAGGGAGTTCAAATACCAGGAGCAGCAAAATACCGCCCACATGATAACATTAGCTAGACGAAGATACCATTGCCATTAATGTCATACAATTATGTGTAAGATATTTCTGCCTCTCTCATATATATATATATATATATATATATTTTTTTTTTTTTTTTTTTTTTTTTTTTTTTTTTAAGCATTACGCTCCGAGCAAGGCAGGAAGCCACTAGGGTGCAGAAGATTTGGAGCGAGAGCAGATAGGAGTGATAGAAGAAAGGATGAGGAGAAGGATAGTGGATAGATCAAGGTAACTGGAGATGTCGATTGACATTACATTTGAATAGTTAGAGATTATAGTTATCAGGAAAACAGTAATAGGAAAGGGTGTTCCACAGGCGAGAGGTGTGAGATATGAAGCTATTGGAATAGAAGAGACGGCTACATTTAAGTTTCTACAGTGAAAGGGTGAGAGCGTGATGCCAGCCTCGTAGGGCGCTTGAATTCACGAAGTCTGGGAACCAGCTAAAGCAGCTCATCAGAGCCAATTATATTACATATCCGCCTCCGGATATTATGAAATGGAAAAAGTCCGGGAATTATTTTAAGACATTTTTATGTTTATACTTTCTTTTTAAAGATACAAATGCTCTGTTTATAATAAACAGTATTAAATATTTACCGGCCTGAATGTGAAAATTTCTCGGACATTCAGGCCGGTAAATGTTATTAATACTGTTTATTATAAAAAAGCATTTACTTAAATATTTGTATGTATAAACATAAAATGTCTTATATATATATATATATATATATATATATATATATATATATATATATATATATGAGAGAGAGAGAGCGTATGGATAGGAATCCGACAAAATGATAGATTAAGATAGGTTAAAAGAACAAGTAGGAAACAGATCTAACATGTTTTACTTCATTAAATCTTCGTCAAAGATCAAGATATAAATGATGATCTTCATCACATATATATAATCTATATGCAAAAATGTCGATATATATATATA